AGGTTGGGCAGGTGGCGAAGCGACACAGCCAAAGAGATGTACGTCACGCCATACGTCGAACATCTCATCAAGGCATCTCGCGACCTACAGGACCTGACACACGCATTGCCCTCGGAACAACATGCGGAGGCACTCTTACGCAACCGGAAGCCACCACTGCCCATGTCTCAGAGGCCCCAGTTGCAATGAGAACGATGCCAAATTATAAGGACAAGAAAGCAAGCTTTCTCAATATTATAATTTTTAAACACATTCGTGTTTTTCAAAATTGTGTATTGTGAAAGCGAAGCTGCCTGTACCGAATATTTGGCATCGTCGAAGCGCGCTAAACGCCCTTCTCCAACTACAAAAACCGTGGGTTGGAGTTCATTCCCTCCACCCACGTTTCTCGTTTTCCAACGGCTCAATCAACATCCCCACCACCCACCCCGGACCAACTACCAGACCACGGCTGCTTGGACGAACGACTCTATTGCTAGTAATATTTGCATGTACTAGCATGTGTTTAAGAATGATGAATATGTTGTAATAAGCCAGTTGCAATGAGAACGATGCCTAAATATAAGGACAAGAAAGCAAGCTTTCTCAATGCGTTCCTTATCGGAACTAGCACCCAATCGCGGGACCTCTGCTGGCGCGCGCGTTTGCTTAATCATTGAAGCTCGGGCCATGCCTACAGAAAATAATATGTCTCGTTCCTTCCACCCAGCTGCTCTTTTTGAAAATACACTCATTACACTCCTAATCTTGTTTTATTCATCAGGTTTATCTCGTCAAACCGAAGACTTTGACCGCATTTATTCATTCTCATCCCTAAACCTTGCTACTCAATCTGAGCCACCATATTCGAAAGGCACACTCAACATTTCATGCACGAGTCTGACATTCCATTGTTCATACGAACTTTTGTATATTGGTATGAATATTAATATTTTGGACTTCCGCGGATCGGGCGAACCGCGTGTCCCGCTCTACAACCTTGCCTCGGCCGTCAAACGTGCACACCTAGTGTCCAACGCCGCCGGCTTGTCCCGTCGCCGCCGGCTTGTCCCGTCGCCGCCGGCTTGTCCCGGTCTGCAGGGGAGCGTCTGTCGGGGGAAACGAGGAGGAGTGAGGAGCGGCGCGCTGCCGCCCCTCGACGCAAGGAAGACACGGCGGGGCAGGCGAGCGTGGGAGCGACGGCAGCGACTGGGGAAGACCAGAGACAAGCAGACGGGAGTGCATGCCACGGAGGCGCGGCAGAGAGGGGTGACCGAGGCGGTGGTGCCAGAGGAGAGTCTGGTGCGACAGGCGACGACACAAGCAGGGGGCAGACTCCGGACCGGACAAGGACACCTGACCAGTAGCAGCAACCTGGGGAGACCCGACAGTCAGGGTGTACAGACTCGACCCAGGCCGACGGGTGAACGTGGCCAGGTGGTGGACCGTGCGGGCACACGTGCAGATCGCCACACGACGTCCTCCAGGGGTGAAGGTGTCAACCCACTCATCCTGGATGACGGCGTTACTCACCAGGTTCGTAGAGAACGAGGGGAGGTGGAGACCTGTAAGTGAGCCAGACGGGACCGCCGGACACGGGAGGACAGTGGAGGAACGTGCAAGGACAGGGCCCCCGGAGGGGTCAGCAAGGGAGACTGCAACGGGTGCAGGGAGTGGTGTGACTGTGGTGCTGTCGCGAAAGAAGCAGCGGGAGGCACCTGAGTCTAGCGTGAAAGTGTACAAGGCCTCAGTAGGCGCAGTACCTGAGAGAGCAGACTCACTAGCACCTAGAGCAGCAGACTCGCTAGCACCTGGAGCAGCAGACGCACTAGCACCTGGAGCAGCAGACTCGATACCGGGATCTGGCGGAACACACAGGTAACAGTCCCCATCAGCACTAACAGTCAATGCATACATGGCAGCAAGGATAGCATCATAGTCAAGATCAAAGATGTCTACGCCCCTCCTAAGCAGCTCTACCCAGTTGGGCATCTCAGTGCAGTCAGGAAACTGAGCACGCCAGGCGTCACTAAGGCGGGAAAAGCAGCGGTGCTAGATGTGCAACCTCCCGCATGTCTGACCAGCACGCTCACCCGTACGAATGACATACGGGCAGGTACCACCACCCCCAGGCGACTGACGCTGCGCGTACCACTCACGAAGGTCCTGCGGCGTACGGGGCAGGCGCTGGCGCTGCTGCTGCTGTGCCTGGCTGCCTCCAGAATCGCCGCGCTGGGCCGCACCACTGCGACCACCACCACCGACTCCGCCGCCACTCCCACCGCCGCCACCCCCGCCGCTGCCACTCCCACTGCCGCCGCCACCACCGACCCCAGCACCCCCACCCCCACCCCCGCCACTCCCACCTCCTCCTCCGCCACCACCCGAGCCTCCACCACCGCCTCCACCCCCACGGCCACCCCCACCACCCTTGCCTCCCTTCCCCTTGCTGCTGCGGCGCCTGCCACTGGAAGCAGACGCAACCCCAACCTCCTCAGCACCAAGGAAGTCGACAGCAGTAGCTGTGGCGACAGAGGGGAGGAGGGGAGAGGGGGAACACCCCTCAAAGAAGGGGGTGCGAGGAGTGCCGCGAGAAGCGCCCACAGCGTTAATGCTAACCTCGGCCGCTGTAAGGTGCTTTTCGAGGAGGTCTATAGTGAGCTCAGAGGGGTCCATGGCGAGAAAGGTGTCCCTGACAGCGCGAAGAGAGTCAGGGAGGCGAGTGACTAGGAGGTAGAGGGTGCAGTGGATAGGGGGGGGGTTCTTGGTAAGGAAGTCGGCAGGGGTCGCAGCACGCACACGAGCGTCGCTAGTGCGGAGGTGGGTGATGAGATCAGCGACTGTGGGAAAGGCGGACAGGTCAGGAAAGAGGTAGGGCAGGATAAGACGGCCTAGCGCAGCAGTGGCAGGCGAGCTGTAGCGAGCTACTACTGCGTCGAACAGGGCCATGGCGGTTTTCTGTTGGCTAAAGTGCGCACGCTCGGCTAACGGTAGGTGGTTTCGCACAGCTAGGCGAGCAGCAGCGTCGCGAATAAGCCACTGGTCACGAGTGTCAGCGTCAGCAGTGTCAGCAGGAGCAGCAGCGCTACCAGACGTATGAGCGAACAGGGACTCACAATGAAGGTAGAGCCTAAGGTCGTCCAACCAGGTTTCAAATTCGATCGGGCGGCCCTCTGCGTCAAATGTGAGAACATTGTAAGTCGCCATCGTTGGTAGCGCAAGGCAGCAAGGCGGCAGGGCAGTGGCGCAGGCGACAGGTAAGGCAAGAGGCAGGAGGCGTACACAGGGCAGCAGGTGGCGGCGCGCACTGGGTTAGGGGCGGCCGGCAGGGGAGGAGGCGGACTGCACGCACGCGCAGGGCAGGGGGCGCGGCGGGCGGCGCACGGGTAGGGCAGGGGGCGCGGCGGCGGGCGGCGCACGGGTAGGGCAGGGGTTGCGCGGCGTTGGGCGGCGCATGGGCAGGGCAGGGCGCAGCGGCGGGCAGCGCACGGGCAGGGTAGGGGGCGCGGCGGCGGGCTGCGCACGGGCAGGTCAGGGGGTGCAGCGGCGGGCTGCGCACGGGTAGGGTAGGGCGCGGCGGAGGGCTGCGCACGGGCAGGGCAGGGGGGTGCGGCGGCGGGCTGTGCACGGGCAGGGTAGGGGGCGCGGCGGCGCGCTGCGCACGGGTAGGACAGGGGGTGCGGCGGCGGGCTGCGCACGGGCAGGGCAGTGCGCGGCGGCGGGCGGTGCACGGGCAGGGCAGGCGCGCGGGCGGCGCACAGGGCTGCGGGGCATCGCGACAGCAGCGCGACGCGGCCAGCAGCGCGCGTGGGATGGGGCAGGCAGCGCAGCGCGCTAAAAAAAAAAATGCGCGCTGCAGCAGTGGCGCGCGGCTAGCAGGGGCAGCGCGACTCGGGGTAGGGCAGTGGGGTAACGTAGTAACCGCAGGTAGAACGGTGGGCCCTAAGAAGAATGGTCCTTAGGAAGGACCCGCTCTGAAACCATGTTAGAAAGACTAGGATCGAATGAATGACTAAGGAAAACATGAGATACAAATACCAAACCCTAAAGGGGTTGTACCCCTTAGTGGCTACACCACTGTAGCCTACAACACCTAAACATAATACAGTTCAACACCTGCGCCCTGCGAGCAATGCCCAAACCACGTTGTGAGCGGCTATGATCTGTCACACAACGCTCAGTCGTTCCCGTTCAACACATTCAAGGCTGTTAATTTGTTCGGTTCTGTAAATCTAACCCTCTCCTTCCACGAGTGCTCACATCTGATCGTTTTCCCTCTGCTCCCCTGCGCTCCCCTGTGCTCCCATGCCCTCACTGCTTCTGCTCTCAGGACGTTCCCTGTCGTAGACTTGCCACTGTCTGCGAGATGCGAGACGAGTAAGCTTGCGACACTTCTCCCCCAGTCTATTCTAATGGCAATGCGTCACAAAGATGTCCCCTTGGAGCTTGCCACATGCTGCGGTGTGGTGCAGTGTGGTGCTGTGGGGTGTGGTTTATGTTGGAGTGCAATGCAGCTAGAAGGCCAATGCAGAGGCGCATGACACATGGCATGTGTCACACACCTTTTCATGCATCGGCTGCCACACCACACGTTTGCTGTGCTCCTGCAAACCATCTGCCTGCTCAAATGCGCGCACCATAACGATTTGAAATATTTTGATTGTGCCTTGGGGGGTCATTCTTCTCCCTCCTCACTCCCTCTGCGTCCACACATGCCCCATACTTGTCTCACAGGATGCGGGTCGGACAATGTGGACTGCGGGGTCACTGCTAAGTGCAGTGTGACGGACAGCAACGGAGAGTGTGTGTGCCTTGGCTCGCTGGTCTTCAACGCCATGGACAAGCAATGTGGTAATGACTCGCGCTTCATAAGTGAGTGTGAGTGCAAGTGCAAGTGTGAGTGTAAGTGTGAGTGTGTGTAAGTGTGAGTGTAAGTATGAGTGTGTGTAAGTGTGAGTGTGAGTGTGCCGCAAGGCAAGTAAGATCGGGTGTGGATGCGTGAGAGTGCCTTCACCTCGTCAATGCAGTGTGTGTGCCAACGAGACTCAGCAGTAACCCATGCTTGTCACCCTCTTGCCTGTCACTCTTGCTTCTTGCACTATTCTTTTTCTTTCTCAACCTTGCTCATCCCTGCCATGCTGTGTGCAGCGCCCCCACGCTCCTATGCCACCATCATGTGTCCGACCAACTCCACCTGCAATGCCACTGCCGACCCGCCCTGCATCTGCAATAAGGGGCTCAGCATGACAGACGGCCAGTGCGTTGGTGAGCCTCGCCCTTCTCTTCCTCTTCCTTCCCTCCCTCTTCCTGCTATCCCACTTCTTTCTCTTGCTCTTCCTTTTCTCCCTCTTCCTTCCCTCACTCTTCGCTCCAATTTCCGCCTCTTACTTCTTACCCTCCTCCTTCTCTCCCTCTCTCTACTTTCCCTGTTTCTTCTCTCCCTGTTTATTCTCTCTCTCGTTCTCCTCTTCGTCTTCCCTCTCTCTGTCTTTCTTCTCTCCCGCGTATTTCTCCCCCTCTTTCTTTTCTCCCTCGTGTGTCCTCCCCTCTTGCGTCTCTCTCTTGCTTCTCTCCCACTTGCGTCTCACTCTTTCTCCTCTACATCCTCCGTCTCTCCTTGTAGCGTCCTACCCGTTCTCTTTTCCCTCTTTCCTCTCAACCTCTCACTTCTCTCCCTCTTCCTTCTCGCCCTCTTGCTTCTCTTCCTCTCGCGTCTTTCTCCCTCTTCCTACTCTCCCTCAAGCTTCTCTCACTCGTTCTTCTCTCCCTCTCGCGTCTCACTCGTTATTCTCTCCCTCTCGCGTCTCACTTGTTATTCACTCGCTCTTACGTCTCACTCTATCCTTCTCTCCCTCTTCCTTCTTGCCCTCTTCCTTCTCTCCCTCTCTCTTCTATCCCTCTTCCTTCTCTCCCTCTTCCTTTTCTCTCTCTTCCTTCTCTTCCTTAAGCTCGTTTCTCCAACTGTTCACTTTGCTGCCCCTGTTCTCAAGGGGGTGGCTCCTCCCTCAAGGGAGAGGCTTGATGCATGTTTTGTGCCTGTGCGGATGTCCCATGCTTCTCGTTTGACGCGCTTCCCTCGCCCCTTGCTCGTCCCTCCCCTGCTGTCTGCAGTGCCCCCACCCTCCTATGGCACCATCATGTGTCCGATCAACTCCACCTGCAATGCCGCTGCCAACCCGCCCTGCACCTGCAATGCGGGGCTCCAGATGACCAACGACCAGTGTGTTGGTGAGCCTCGCCCTTTTGCTCCCTCTTCCTTCTCACCCTCTACCTTTTGACCCTTTTCCTTCTCACCCTCATCCTTCTCACCCTCTTCCTTCACTCCCTCTTCCTTTTGTCTTTCGTTGATTTCGACCTCTTACTTCTTTCCCTATTCCTTCTATCCTTCTTTCTTCTCTCCGTATCACCTTTCTTCTCTTCCTTCTTCCCCTCTGCCTCCTCCCGCTCTTCCTTCTCCCCCTTTTCCGTCATTTTCTCCTCGTTTTCTCCCTGTTACTTCTCTCCCTCTTCGTTATCTTTTTTCTTGTGCCTCCCACTTGCTTCTCTACCTCTTCCTTATCTCTTCTCCTTCTCACTCTTCCTTCTCCTTCCTTTTCCCCCTCTTCCTTCTCTCCCTGTTACTTCTCACCCTCGTCTTTTTCACCCTCTTACTTCATTCCCTTCAAATCGTTCTTCCTTCCCTCTTCCTTGTCCTCTACCTTTTCTTTTTCTCCCTCGTCCTTTTCTTTCCCTTTCCTTCTCTCCTTTTTGCTTTTCTCCGTCTCCCTTCTCACCCTCACGCCTTCCCCTCTTCTCGCTCTTCCTTCTCACCCTCTTGAGCACCCTCTTGACCCCCCCTCCCTCACCTGCTCCCTCCCTGACCCAAACCTGGATCCCAGTGCGATCAGCAGCGGTCCTGCAAATTCGCTGTACGCGGTGATGTATGGGAAAGTGGTTTGGGAGTGTAGCCCCGGCTACACCAAGAAGAACAGTCTATGCGTTGGTGAGGAACTGGCATGTGCATTGCTGAGCTAACTTCTAGTTTTTTTATTCTGGTTGGAATGATGTGGGAGCTCTTGTTGTGTGCCCCAGACCCAATTTCACAGCTTTCTTGACTCACTGTACTTGCATTGCTGTTGGCCTCTTAATTGTTATGTCCGATCATGTGCTCCTCATTATATCCAATGTGCATGTCGTCTTTGAATCATTGTCAGGAAATCTACATTTCCTAGTACAAACGTAATAACACTCTGGACTTTCCTCTCTTTCATCTCCCGTTTTCCGTGGCCTTGTTTCCCCTTTGCCAGCCGTGTGCAAGCGTCCCTGCACTCACAATGCTGAGTGTGCAGTAGTGAAAAACAAGCCCACTTGTCGTTGCAAGACTGGATACATGAGGAGGAAGAACAACAAGTGCATTCAGTCTCCCCCAACCGGATATTAGGGGTTGATGGAATGGGCAAAAAGGGTGAGCTGTGTTCCATTCTCCCAACCCCCTTGCAAATCACCAAAAGGGTCGCCACAATGTGATGCCATCCTGGTTTCTGATCCATCTTGAGCTGCATTTTGTCTTGTTCATCTCTCTTTACGTTTTGGTGCTGGAGTGGGAGGAGCACCAGCCCAGCACTGGGGATGATTGGTTAGGCGGGTAGAAGCACCTCTTATCTCGAGCCCAAATGCTCCGCATCAAGGCACTACTGCTGCTATACAATATTATACACTATCGAGATTCTATAAACATTATTGGCTTTTTATTTCTGCGTTTCGAAGCGCGTGTACCTTTTTTTTCAACATGAATAATGACTTTCTTGTAATTTATATGGGCTCACGTCACAATGCTCACGCAGGAGCAGTTGGCCGAATCCTCGTTACCGTATCTCGTCCCCTTGCACCCGAAACACTTGGTATCAGAGCAACTTTCTTTCGGACCGCGCATATCCGCACGCAGGAAACCAACTTTTGATTTTTGCTCGAAGGGACCCACGCCCCTTAGCACCTAGGAGACGCTGTCCCCGGGTTCTCTCGTAAACGCGTGCAGCCACGACTGCGCCTAGACTAAGCTGAGCCGACGCCCTTCGAAACGGCCGAGCATATCGACGTCACAATGCTCACGCAGGAGGGCTTGAACCAACTGCTGCACAAGCTGCATGAAAGCACCGAAGAAATTGCGGCGCTGACGGCAAAACAACGTCGCATGAGTGCAAAAAACACAATCACAACCACAAGGCAAGCAAGGACAACCTGCACGACAAGCATCGCAACACGAAAGTGTGGGGCAACCCTCGAGCGCGGCTAGTGATGGCGTCGCCCGCAATGACGGAGACGATGACCACAGCGCGACACACCCCGGAGCGACGAATGCGGCCACAAGCCAACCTCGCGTCACGATTTCGGTGCCGACCGGCGAGTCAGCACTGCCGTCGCCGACATCCCTGAAGCCGCAGCGTCCGCCTTGCTTTGACACGAGTAAACGGAGTGGTCCTACCGTTCAGGCATGGTTGTTCACGATGAACGTTTTCTTCGACGCCAACTACGTCTCGGAGGATACGACGAAGATTCGTTACGTCGTTTCGCTGCTGCGAGGACCCGCCATGGACTGGTGGCGCGTCATCATCACGAAGCCGATGGACTACGCGACTCTACCGACACGGGAAGGACAAACCGGACCCTGGGCGCCGTCGTATTTCGTGGAGGTGCCCCAATATCGCATTGGGACGCGTGTTGCGCAGGTCTGCGCGCGAGATTCGAGTGAATTGCGGTGTTAGAAGCTCCGCACTTGACGCCAACTCGGTTCTGTCCATGACTAGACCAGCGGGTTTCTGGCATTGTGTGAGCAGGTGGGCTACATGCATGAGGGCGACGCCAAAGGAAAGGGGGAAGCTGAGCAGCAGAAACAGACCAAGCAGCAGGGAAACGCTGGGAGTCAGTAGCAGACGGGCCCTCTACTGACAGGTCACGCCGCTCGCCCGACCCAACCGACCCTCACCAAGTGATTGTGTCGGCTCACGCAATCATATATGAAGGGGTAGGTAGATAGACAGCCCCATACTGCTTAGTGGGAAGATTGGGACAGACTTAGTTAAGATCTTCGTAACAAGTGGAGCTGATGCTGCTAAGCTTAAGTTTATCGTTCAGTTTTTTAATCGTTTTTGCATAGTACTTAGTTTAGCACTCAACAAGATGAGGATCATCAAGATTATTACTGGTGCTATTGTTGCTCGAGTGAAGTAGAGCTCGATTCCTATTTTTATAGCATAAGTAATTCTCCAGTTTGGGAGCGGTGGAAGAGAATGTCATATCTGTGGGCCAAGAGGTCACATGTGCACTTAGCGTGGAAGTACGCAGCACTGATATGTCCTTAGCGTCATTCTGCTCGCTTAGGCCATCGGAATAGGGTATATTTGCATTTTCATGTTAGATGATGTTGCCCTAACGACGGGTATCTTTGTGACGAAGAACACGTGTCACAAGAGGTGATCAAGTGAGACACCACAACTGAATTTATTGACACAACGATATTAGTTGTGTTCGTTTGTTTTTTTGGTTTGTTTATACCCTAAACCCATATATGTAGTAGTTTTGTTTTACATTAGTTACTATTTTTTTCGCCATTTATTGCCTTTCATTCGTGGAATATCGCCCTATTTTGTTCAATAATTTATAGTCTCAATATATTCATGGGCACATGAACACTCGTAATCGATTATGTATATTTCTAACGTTATGATCTTACCACACCAACTTCTTTGTGATTGTTCTTTATTTTCCAAAGTTGGAAAGACTGCTCTCAAACGTGTGAGTGCCGCAGTGAGTATGATTGCTCCCGAGGGCACATTTGAAGACCTTAACATTGCGACGTGAACCGCAACCGGGTCAACTAGGAAAAGGAGTTACAATCAAAACTGTTTCACATGCACTATCAATCCAAGAAAAGATTAGCAATACAACAAAGCTGTTGTACTAGTTGGTATTGTGTAATGTAGTTAGCCTATAATGTGGCTAAGTGATATCATGTTTATCGTTGGTCATATTGTAGAATTCCTTCATATTTGTCATTTGTTTTGTTTCATTTCTTCAGGGCGATTGACATGTCAATCACTGCGTTGGGCAACAGTGTCGTCCCACTAATAAACCGTGAGTCGTTGCCTACACCAGCATATTCATGCACGATGAATGCACCAGCCACAGACGAGGGCCGCTCGCTGAGCACTAGATGCTATTGTCATGTGCCCCTCGACATAACCCACAGGGACATATACTGCCCCCTATTCTCCCCCGACTCTTCGCACCTTTCTCAGCTACGGAAACTTCCATTTTGTTTCATCAAGTGTCATGTGCACATAGGCAATGCTGCCCATGGCGTTGCAGATTGATTGCACGAGTGCCGCTTTGAGTGATGCCTTCGCCTCTTTCACCAAAACATTTTTTCCGCAACTATTGCCGCAGCCCTTCCACTGTAGCCAAGAACAGCTCCTCCATAAACAGCTGCATTGTCCAGCACCCGCACTTCATCTAGCTCTTCGCAGAAAAGTTTGTACAACGTTTCATTCACGTGTCACCAATCCACCTGATGGTTCAGTTTTCGCTCCGTCGCAACACCTCTGAATGTCGTCCGTTGATATTAAATAATTCCTTCCACATCAAATCCCAGCAGCGCCAGCTCATCGACTCCTTTGTTGAATGCAACCCGCTCCAATCGCACAGATAAAGTATCATCAATTCTTTTTCTTGTTATCACACAGTACAATATCTTCTGCATAACAGCATCCATGAATGATACAGTATATACCACTCACCCTCTCTTACATGTGTCCATGGACCATCCACTGTCAACCTTTCTCCAGGATTATCTCGTTTGCTCATCTCTTCCCGCACCGATGCCATCAACTACTCCGCCTTCCTAAGAAACGTTTTCCACAACCCATTATCATCCCCCAGGTACTTGTAAAAAGGTTCATTTCCATGACATGGGATGCAAAAAATGTGGCTCAAGTCGCAGATATGTTGATATCCCATCCCGGCAAGCACAAATGCTCCTACAAATTTGGAATGGAGTATAGGCGCACGTGTCCCGGCACCGGCTCTTCTTTTCTCAACGGTTCCATTAGCGCACGACCGAAATTCCACACTATGGGAGCACGCATTATCTTTCCAAAACATGCCCACTGATGCCCATGAATATTTCCATGACCTGAAAGACATGGCTCCTCTGCATATCTGTTGATGCGAGCACACCAACCAACATCCCTTGAAGAATCTAACAACTGCAAGCAGTTCGATGAGACATACTTGTTGTTCAAAA